CTAAGATAATAGAGGTAGTGGGGATGAGTGCGAAGTTTGTGTGGACGGGGGCATCGGAGGACTCTATTTCAAATGATTCAAAAACGATATTACCAAGTTTAAAAACAAAAAATGTGAAAAGTTATACATATTTGCAACGGATCTGTAAAATTTTGTTCAAAAATATTGTGATTTGCAAGCTGCAAAAAAAAATCCAGCAGAACAATAAAAAGAAAATGGCCCATTTCCATGTATTTGTTTTTTTGCCTACGCCATGTATGAAAGTATATTGTTATGAAATTTTTCATGAACATATTATATATGTATTTGCGTATGTAAAATAATTGATTTATTTCGTAATTTTTTTGTAAAGTCCACCAATGCTCCCGTCCTCCATTTGCACTTTTCGTAGCGGGGATAAACTATTTAGGTATATAGGATATGAAAGTGTGTTTTATTGTGTGTTTAGTGATATTAATTTGCTATCAGGGTTCTTGGCTTTTTTTCTACAAACTTTATCGAAGTTTGCATCGTTTGACTTCTAACAAAATTTATACGCCTTATTTTCGTATATGGAAGGAACATTATATATGTGATGTGTCTGCATTTAACAGTTGATGGACACGCTTTCTTCTCTCCCTGATGTCATTAGGGTTTGATTTATACCGTCAACTCTATAGAGAAGATTTTTTCTACAAAAACAAAGGCATTTAAAAAATATAATTGCCCAATCTACTGAAAACTGAGCAAAAATCTTTACAAATACCCATAACCGCCATCGTGAAAACATGACCTTATGGAGCACCACCTATGGAACTGGCTATTAACAACAAAAATTACACATGCTGCCGAGAAGAGGACCAACGTCAAGGTTGCCTGCAGGTGTCATCGTCGTCGGTCCTCCTCGATTCAATAACTCCAACTTCACCGCGAACAACCACCATTGAAGCCCAAGACGCAACAGCTACACGAAGTTTGCATCAACCCATGAAAATCAGCCAACCCCTAATAACAGGACAAGATAGTTTCGACTTTGACGATGAACATCTCCAGAAGAAATGTGCATGGCTCGCATGGACTAAGACCTCCACGGACACCACCAAACATCTGTCATAGTCACCACCTAGGCTCCTCCAAGGTAGCTCTGCGCTCACAACAACACGAGACAAAAGAGGAAACATGTCGGATACTCTAGAAAGAGTCGACTAGCAAAGCCATGTTGCGACCAAGCTCATCTCGCAACCATTATCGTTGACAAACTAGCACCACCGAAAGAAGAGTAGTTGCCCTCATAAACACAAAAAATGATCCAGAACCGATCTTGTCATCCACACCGGCTCCTAGACGATATCTTCGAGAAAGGAGCAATGAATAGCACCGCCATCGCCCGCTTAAGGGGTTCAAGGTTTCCCTCAAAGCCAAGGGAGAGAGACGCAAGACGGATGCCCTAGGCGAGGAAACAACGCCCACATGTGTTGCCATAACCGGCTCCAACCACAAGCGGGAGCAGAACATTATTCTAAGGAAGGAAAGAATCCCACTCCCCCACAAAGGTCGAAACAACCCAAAACCCACCACCAAGTTGCATTTGCCATGCCAGGTGAAGGGGTACTAGGTCATCACTATCGTCCACACCTAAAGGGTGTGACAAATCAAGCTACAACAAACCTTTGTTTGTGGGACCGGGTCTAGCCACCTTGTCATTCACCACTACCACATTGAACCCCCTATTCGCGTTGGCCATCCAAGAGCAGCCGAAGAACCTGCCAGAATGTTGTCATGTGTCGAGATCTTAAGGACCCCAATGCGCCAAGAGAACCCGCGTCGAGTGCCTCCATGGTAAAAACCAGGGCCCACCACCATGATGCACCAACTTCCACAAGGGTCACCATTGCCGCGAAACAAGGGTTGCCGCCCTTAGCCTAAAACACCGCCCATGCCATCGCGAGCCGAGACAACCTCGTCATCGCCTTACTTTGCATAGTCTTAGCCCCACGACAGCATTCGGCAGTGGTGAGCGAGTGGAGGAGAACATGGAGGGTTGGCAGCAGGATTAGGGCTCTGCATGATCCGCATGGGAGGCGATGTGGGGATGGGATGTTTTGTTCACTGTGAGAGTAGTAGTGGAGCTACTAAGTTATTTGCCTCGGGGTGCTACCACATTACCAATGCACCGTAGAGCTACCAATAAATAGTAAAAAAAATGATGTATAGATAGATTGCAATATAATCTAGCATACCACAAATTTGAGATCAAAACACAACACATAAAACTAACAAAAAACCATAAAGGACAAAAATTCCAATCACTAATATATATAATGGGATATGAATGATCACAGATCACATATGGATTTATTTTATGTTAATAATCAAGACTATCTTAGACCGGACATATGAAAAATCCATTTGCAACAGGCTTAGGGTGAAAACCCATTTGTCGTGTGTAGCCACTGCCGACGGGTGAAATGGAGCGCATATGTGATGACACATTGTGAATGGGTTAGAAATGACCCGCGTGAGATAATAGAAAGTAATGCATAAAATTTGATGAGTTCTTACGTGCATTTGATAAGTCATTGGCATAAGTCATTGCAGATGAATGTAAAGCTGGCCCATCTGCAATAGCCCTTCCACCACTATAAAACATAACCTTAATGCATGTCTCGCACTTCTGAGTCCCTTGCCATTTTCCACGTACGTACCTTCATCATTTCTATCTTATCCACAATACTATATAATATTTCATTTTTGTTTTCTTGTAGCCAGCCATGAATGGTGACTCTGTCATCTTACAACATTTCACTTGGTGGTATGTGAGTGTCTTCATGCGGTGGTGGTATATGTGTGTGTTACATTCCACTTGTTGTTTAATTTCCTAAAAATGGCATATAGAGCATAAAAAATGTATGCCTTTGAACTTATGGCTGACATGCCTTACGTGGACATGCAATACTGGCACAATATAGTGTATCATTAATCTGATTGATAGATCGCCAACCATATCGGTTGAACATATGCACTTGGAGATGGTAGCTTTGTTATGTTCAACCAATATGGTTGGCAGTCGAGCAATAGGATTTGGGATACATCTGTTGTAACATGTAATCTTTTGTGTTGTTGTTTTAGCCATTTAATGTTTACCTTTTTTTACTTGTAGTAAGAATTACATGCTTTGTACTCCCTCCATCCCAAAATAAGTGACTCGGCTTTGTACTAACTTTGTACTAAAGTTAGTGCAATGTTGAGTCACTTATTTTGGGACGGAGGGAGTAGTAAATAAGGATGTGTGCAATTCTCGATGCATAGGTTGACGAAAAAAGGACTTGGGATGAGATATTTCTTGGTTATGTTATTCAATTGTATTAATCATATGCATGGCTATGCATTTATTTGTATTTTTGTTTGACATATGCATGTGAACATTGTGATTTGTTCTATTAAGTCTCTGCGTCAAATTGTTGAGGACATGTCAGTTGTGGCGTAGGCAGGGACTGGCAGGATCCATGTTCGGCCATGATCCCACATTTGTGCATATATGTGTTGTTTTATGCACTTAACCTCTCATGTTTTAGAAAATGAAACAGGTATTAGTTTTGTTATTCCGCCCCTGTTATCCAAAGTTTAACTCATCTGGCCGGCGTCCAAGATCTTTGATTCCTGGCTCCTCCACTACACGTCAGTTGGGTCATCTTTAGTATTCACTTGGAGAGGAGATTAAGTTTGGATTATGGAGAGAAAGTCACCATTCTCTTTGATTTTTGAATGTGCTTGTTGATTTGTTTAGTTAACATTGTTGGAGTTCCACACATTTGGCTATTTGCTCTGTGGTTACAATGATTATACTCAATGATCTTTGTATTGAACCATGTGAGAATGGTGCCATCTTAAAGCATTGGGGGAAGTCTTAAAAATGTGGAAATCTAGAATTAACTTGTTCACTTGTAGTATCGATTGTTACGATGCAACGAATCAAATGAAAGCTTCCATTTCAAATAGCATGCATGTTTGGACTGACATGGGTGCAAAGAATTGATTAAATTTTACATGTCTAAGAAAATCTTGCAGTTGGTCCTTGGCATTTATCTAATTATAATATGAATTTATTATTTAAATCTGAGTATTACAACATATAACCGATAGTTTGACTTTGATGTGCTAGAACTTTTGCTCATAAACATAAAAGATGGTATGAACTGTTATGCAACTATTGAGTTCGGTATTTTTAGAAGAAGAAAAAATTGTATGAAAGAAGAGCAACTTTTTTCTGTGATGTTCATCAAAGCAAACCCTTTTCTTTGATGTTCACCAACACAAGCCCTAACCTCACTATGGATATTCGATTTTCAAGTTAATTGGTGTGCAAATTTTAGGTGAATGAAATTTACCAAAGTTTCAGCATCCAAGAATTAGCTAAACTGTGTTTATTACATGCAACACGCGAGTCACTCTCGTCTCGTCACATCGATCATACCCGCCATGTGATTTCGTATATGAGTAGTGTTATATAGTACTAGTATCTGTGATTATGTATGCATTTAAATGCAAAAGTGGTGGTTAACAAGCTCATACTTCTCTCCTATTGAATGCCCCCGTTCCATAATTCTTGTCGTGGCGGTGAGTACTTAATCACCAGATGATTTGGACGGGAGGACGTGATTGCACGTTTTCAGTGGAGGAGCGTGGGAATACAAAGTGAACCAAGCAGTGCCTGGATAAATTGGATCTTCCCCTTTGAAAACGTCACTCGTGCATAATTATAAGCAAACCCTTACTAGTTCCAAGCACAAATTAACCCAGTAATGACAAGCTCCCTAAGACTAGGCAACAACAGTCGGTCGGCCTGCTGATGACAGAACTGTAAACAAGTCTGCAGAGAACTCATATTCTGCTGACACCTTTCACAATCATCATAACAACAAAAGTAGTATAGTAGTAATACTAACAAACCGCAGTTATATCGTGTGCTTAATCCCCTTTGATGGCTCCGCCGCACCTGACACGCCGAGGCCGATCTACGCCTAGTCGCGGTCGCGGTTCCGGTTGCCCGTGCCGCGAAACGGCAGCATCCAGCACGGGCTCATCTGGCGCGCCCCGGAGCACACCACGGCGCTGCTCTTCGCCGCGGGAACCTGATCGTCGTGGCGTCCGTGCTGATGCTGCTCGGGCGGCTTCTCCGACGCCACGAGCCACCGGCTGGACGACGACACCTGGGCCGGCGACGGCCCCGGCCGCGACCAGCAGGCCTTGCCGACGGCGAGCCTGCGGAACATGTCGGCGATGAAGCCGACCTTGATCGCCCGCTTGAGCCTGTACCGCTTCTTCCTGCCCTTGGCCGTGCCGCGGCGGGACACGTTGATGCCGCCGTGCTGGCGGAGCAGGTAGGACGGGGGCGGGGTGATGGCCGGGAGCGCGCCGCCGACCATGCGCGAGGCGTCCCTGGGCGTGCCGGGCTCCGACTCCCAGACGAACGGCACCGAGCCCGGCTCCGACCCGTAGTACCGGAACGACGGGTTGGCCCCCGAGCTCTCCTTGGTGAGCAGCCGCTCGTAGAACTTGCCGCCCTGCTTGATCCGGAGCGGGCTCTGCGGCATCATGGCGCGGAGCGGGCTCTGCGGCCGCGCCACCTCGCCGGCGCTCGGAGGCATCGCTCTCTGTGTGTGACTGGCTCGTCTCTCCGGAGCCAGAGAGAGACCGACCGGGCTGGAGGCCGGTCGACCGTAGTGCACCGGTGTAGTGGCTCTGTAGTCGCTTGGAGTGAAGGATGGTACACATGTAGCCGGAAGCGACGCGGCGTGTTATATAAACGGACGAGACTCGCTTGGTGGTTTGGTTGCCGGTCAGTCTCGTACTTACGCACGTACGCTTGCTATTGAAATCCAGCGCCACTTGTCCACAGAACTGCACGGTGGACCAACCGTACTTGCTCCATGGACTCCGGCCCCGTTCGCTAACGGTTAGTACTACCATGCCTAAGTACATATGTACCATACCATGCCGTCAAAAGTCTTGCTCTTGAACATGATTTTGGAAATTTTATCAAGCTGAGCTGAGCTGCCCTTGAAGAAACCCTATGCTTTCGTATGAGTAGACGTTGCTTGTTCTATAACTCGAGTTTGAGCTTTGTTCAAGCCGAGCTAAGCGTTGTACCTAGCATGATGCCCACACATTGCTACAAAGTCATAAAAAACACTAGTTAGGTCACTCGTTTATCAGATATAAATGAAAGATGTTGGTGTCCGACGGCCGTTGCACGGTTCACGATTGGAAAAGGAACGGAAATGCAACGGGAGATCATGTGGCGGCCATTTGTGTGAGAATCTTAAGCGGCCATGGCGGGACAAAACTGCACTTCCAAATTAGCCAAGTTACACACGCGACTAGCTGCACGCTTAAATTGACATGTCATGGCACAATGATGAATTTGCTTACCGTTTGTATATCTTGGAGAATAGATGAAACCGACAGCCGAACCGAACCATGCAACAGGTTCAGCAACTTAATTTTTTACGTGCATTAATCTTGGCTACTTAGTAATTACATTGACGAACAATGTGTCGGTTAGCCTGCTTGTCCCACAAAAAACATTTGATGGAACTGCAGGTGGGATATCATTGTTTGCTCTGCGGCTGTTTCAAAATCGCATTGTATAGTGGCCAGCCTTCGCCAGAACCACCCTGGAGTATAAGTAGAGCATTTGAATTTATTTTGAAATTGCATTGGACAAATTATATAGCTGCCAGCCTGCCGCCGATTGGAACTTTGGTGTTAAGTAGTACTCCTGTCATGCTTATTTCCTTTGTTGCGCCATGGACCTGCTCGTTCGAAAACGATCACTGTGATTGTTCATCATTGCTTGACGAGTTCCCGACGTAGATGGCGCACTGACACTGCTTGCAAGAAGGAAACGGGAATGCCGGATGAGAAGTTAATGCACGTTCTTGGTCCTTTTCATTCCCCCCCTGCACCGCGCAACAAACATGGCATTTTTCTGATTTTATTTGGGGGCGACGAAGGTTCCACTCCAGTATTTCCGAGCAAGCTTTGTATTTTTATTTTGGGTGGAGAAAGTTCAGTTCGAGTATTTGCTAAGAAGTTTTGTGTTGACCAAACTTTTAGGGTTTCTTTGATTCGCAGGATTCTAAAAGCAAGGGCGATAAGAAAAACATAGGATTGAAATCCCATGCTTATCTCAATCCTACAAGATTTTGATTTGTTTGATTGCATTGCAGAAAAAACAAATGTTTGACTCGGAGTTTCAGGGAGAGCTAATGCTTATGCTTATTGGGTATTTTGGTTTGACACTTCTTCACGCTCAAAAAGAAGATAGCTACGTCTGAGCTAAACTTGGACATGGAAGTCTTCTTTCGCTTAGGATGAAGTAAAACCAAGCGCATGAGCTTATTATCCCCCGTGTGGCGGCATGGGAATGTCAAAAGAAAAGGGGTGGAGTTTTTCTCGCTTTTGGCATAGCGGACCTCCCAAAATGGATGCTAAAATTCCTACGTAGTGTAATACAAAGAAGTCTGTAGGAAAAATTCTATAGGATTCAGTACTATTAATCAAAGGATCAATAAAAACCCAAGGAAACTAATCCTTCAAAATTATATGAAAATCCCCTTTTTAACAGTAAATAGAAATTCTATGAAAATTATTTGACTCAAAGGAACCCTTTGTAGGACTACTTCTCGCACGCTGCAAGGCTTAACTCGGTCTTGCCTCTGGCGTGGCAATACTGAGCCCGCCGGAAGTACTGTAGTTATCGCCCGACTTTTAATTCTTTATAGTTTTCTTTAATGGGGTTTCACTGTTTGCATTGGTTTCCTCAGGGGCGGAGCCAGGGGGACGAGCAGGGGCCTGCCCCCCCCCCCCAACGATCAACAATTTTAGTAGAAGCAACTAGTAATTATCAACAAGATTCGATCAATATACGTACTCGGCCTCCCCTATACTCGAATCCTGGCTCCGTCACTGGGTTTCCTTATGGTTCTCTTCATTTTCTCTATAGTTTTCCTTGGTTTTTATTTTTACTTATTCTTTTTCTTTCTTTCTTCAGTTTTCTTTCTTTCCTACTTTGGCTTTCACCGGTTTCCTTCAACTATTTTGCTTTTATTAACACATGTCTACTATTTTCATACGCGTTACAAAATATTATATACATTAGGAACATTTTTTATACATGTGTAATATTTTATAAATATATTTTTTGATGTCTACTTTTTGAATACACACTGTAATGTTTTGTATACATCAGAGAATTGTATATGTAGACATCAAATTCATGAAAACATTTTTTCCGAATTTTGATTTTTGATGTTTTTTCAAATACATGTCAAGCATTTCTCAAATGCTCATTGAACATTTCATTTTAACTTCACATTTTTTTGTACATTCTATAAACAGTTTATTAAAATGTCACAAACATATTTTTTGAAATATGTGAACATTTTAAAAATAAAATGTTTTTTTTGTGAAAAAGGATCAGATATTATAAAAGTTCACCCGAAGTATCAAACATAATAAAATTTACATCGAATTTCCAAGACTGCTTAAAGACCACTATTGCCGCCAGCACTAGCCACCGACTGGCCTTTGTCGCCTCTCCCAGCTTGACCTTATCAGTGAGAGTTGGGAAGGCTTTGTGCACGTGCCCCTAAGGACCAACGCGCTGGAGCTGTTGTCGTCACCGCCAAATCCTTGCATAGATCTGTAGCACCTAACACAAAAATAGTCACCACATGATGAGAAACCCTAACCTCACAGCCCCAAGGGAGACGACAGAAATATGTGTCGAAGCTCCATCGACTATGCCCAAACGGACGAACTCGAGGAGAATCGAAACCCAAAAGATAAACTCGAAGAAGAAGCACAACCATCCGCATGAGCACCGAATAAACTAAACCTAACCTAAACTACTAATCTGAGAGAAGGCACCGGAATTCCCCTCTCCGCCAACAACCGTTAGAGCGGCAGGCAAGGGGGGGGGGGCGAATCAACGGGCTCGTTGGTGAAGCCTGGAGGGGAGAGTTTGACCTTGCCACCTAGGGTTAGGGAGGAGAACGAGAGGAAGTCATGTAGGATATGTCGCTGTGTTCGGATGTTAAAAACTTTTTTTTGAATGGTATGAAACATTTTTTTTCTAATTACACTGACATATTCTTACATTGTATAATAATTAATAAGCGCTTGACCATTTCTGAAATGTCACAAAAAATTGAATGCTATTTGTAAAACTTACACTATCAAAAAAATGTGTTAAAATTTTCAGTAAATTTAGGTTTATACACACTAACGTTTTCCAAAATGTATATAAACAAAATAACGAATGAAAAAACAGAGAAGAAAAATAAACTAACATGTAGGTAACCATTTCTGGGGCGGGGGCATTTTTTTTGTTTTTTCTATTTTTCTTTTCTAATCTTGTTTCTTCTTGCTCTTTTAAAAAAATCAGAACTAAAAAAAGGCCCAAGTTACAAAATGTTCTCAGATTTTAAAAATTGTTGGTGTAATTCTTAAATGTTCGAGGAATAAAAAAATCATGAATTTCAGGAAATGTTCGCAGGTACAACAGAAATGTTTATGAATTCAAAGAATGTTCATGAATTTAGAAAAATGTTTCCAAATTAAAAAACATTGATTCAAAAAACTATTTCACAAATATTACGGAAATTCATTTTTTTTATTCCTGTTTCGAATTTTTTTGTCACTTAAAAATTGTTTGTGAATTTAAAAAGTATCTGTAAATATTCAAAAAAAATGTGCTCGTATTTAAAAATTTATAAAAAATAAAAAATGTTCATGAATTTGAAAACAATGTTCCTGAATGTAAAAATAAATAAAATAAAAGGAAAAATAAAACACTAAAGAAAACCAACAAGATACACAAAAATTGAAAGAAACCCGTTGTGTGCGGTGGCAGGAGGGTACGCGCTGCCTAGCTATCCACCGCGGTACACGCGAAATTTGAGGCGTGGTATCCGCCGTATATATTCCTAACATTTTTTAAGGCTATATATATTCCTAATACGTCTTGCCTATAGCGCAGTTCTACTCGGCAAGCCCAATTCTCTAATTGCGCGCGAGTTTTCGTTTTTCGTTCAATTTTTATTGGGTTCTCACTGTTATTCTTTGATTTTCTTAGGGTTATTTTGGATTTTCTAAGGTCTAATTTTTCCTATTTATTTTTGATTGGTTTTCTTTGTTTATTTCTTTAGTCCCACTAGTTTACTTTGGGTTGTTTTTTTCCTTTTTATTTTTTTGCAAAACATGTCAAATTTTTTCATACACATTTTATATTTTCAAAACACATGATCAACTTTTTTATATAAATCGAAAACATTTTTGTATATAAGTTAAATATTTTCCAAATACATGATTAACATTCTTTCTAACACATGCATTGAACTGTATTTTGAATATGTGTTAAAGATTATTTTTTTCAAATAGAGATTGAAGCATTTCTCTAAACAACATGTACAGTGTTTTATGTTATATAAGCATTTTTTTTAAAATGTCACAAACATATTTTTTGAAACCCATGAACATTTTTGAAATATAATGTACAATTGGTTTGAATGGTCAATTGATTTTGAATTAGACGATTTTTTTACCTTTTATAAACATTTTCTCAAAATGCTATGTATATTGT